TATCAATATACAACACAATGTACACGTTTAAAAAGGAGTACGATAATCCGAATCCTTTAAATCTATTTCATTAGATATGAACTCAACACAGGATAGAAAACAAAGGCAAAAATAATAATAGGATTTATTATTAGTTATATAATATTTATATTAGTTATTGTGTGTAGGCTTGTAAGAATAAAACGGTTTTAAGCTCGCTTTTGAATTGAGCTGTAACTGACCTCAGGTCAGCTGGCAGCTTGTTGTGAAGAACAGGATCAAAGTAAGAAAGTCAAGACGCTTAGATTTAATTGAAGGAAGAAGATCTGCCCCTGATGACCTGAGAGGTCTGACTGAGTTAAAAATACTGAGATGCACTGGGACTTTATGAACTATAATAAAAGGATTTTAAAGGTAAGTCTGTATTAAACTGGGAGCCAGTGAAGTGGCTTTGTCAGTTTTAAGACATTGTATTTGTACCATTTTAAATGAGATCTAAACATTGGATATATATTATGTGAAATTCATTGCTTTCTGTTTTTATATTGAGTTCACAGTATTTCCACGCTTTTTTTTGTTGTTGAATGAAATAAAATAAAATAAGATAAACAAAGCAGGTTAAAATAGTACAGGATAAAACACTGTAACCCTTTAAACCTGAACCATGGACTAATTACCAGAAAATTCTATTTTTTTTAAACTAAAGTACTTATTGAACCCAATGGCATTTAAAAAAAGGAAATTAAATCACAATTTGCATATATGAGTAGTACAGGTCTCAAAAACTCATGTATCAAGTATGAGTAACTTGCAAGTGAGTAACAAGTTAGAGTTGTAGACATAATACAGGTTTGAACCCGGATAATTCACATACTTGAGGTCCGGGGTTTACACTGTGGGTGCCCTTCCCCCGCCCCCGGCCGCTGCCAGTCATCTGTGCCCTATCATGGCGGCCCCGTGCGGGACGGGATCCAGAGGAGGGACCGGAGGGAGGAGCAGCCTGGAATGATGACGTAGGATTGGAATGAGGGAGTGAATTTTCCGGGTCAGAAACAGGACGGGAGAGGAAATTAACTCCAGGACGAGACGAAAAAAAGAAGAAAAAAACCACACGAGAATGCCGCCCTCCTTCACACTGAGATGTAGCCCGTGTGTTTAACGCTTAAGAGGGGGCTTTAAAAAAGGCGGACGTTGGACGAGGAACCGAGTGGAGAGAAAAAACAGGTGTCTGCAAACTACAAAGTGAACCTACGACGGGGACTAGAGCACCCATGTTACTCGCGACCTGCGGAACGTTAGCTCGGTAACGTTACAGCGGCTGACTTACAGCGGGAGTTTCGGTGTTTACTTGCCTGCGAGTTTCGCCTCGCTTGTGTTTGTCGGTGGCTGTCCCGCCATAGCAATCTGTTGCATCTTCCACCATCTCCTCCTCCCCGCTGCTTGTTTTATCGCACGGGTACGAGATTTATTTCCACCTCCCCCGTGATGTTTAACTGTATACCCCTGTGGCGGTGCAACCGTCATGTAGAGACGATCGATAAACGCCACTGCTCCCTGCTCTATGTGCCCGATGAGATTTTTCGCTACGGACGGAGTTTGGAGGAGCTGTTGCTGGATGCCAACCAACTCCGAGACTTGCCCAAGGTAAGGAGAAAGCAGCTTCCGCTCGTTTAAATTAAATGGCAGGTAACTGAGCTGATCTGGCACCCCGTCTAGGTGGGATCCGGGCACGAAAATTACACAAGATTAGTAAAGTGAGACACCGTAAGGGTGGAAATTTCCCCCAAAGATACACTTTTGCACCGCAGGGTAGCTAGAATTATGATTCACAATCTTAAAACTTAAGCTCTCAGATATGCATCGCACTGATACTACTATCTGAACTGCTCAACCTGTTTGGGCAGGTTATGTTGACCTTTGTGTTTGTGCTTTTTCCTTACATGTAGTATCTTTCTGCATGACAGAGAGCCATAAATGCAGATGATGTAGCCTATGTATATTTCCCCCTGGGAGTATAGATTTAAACAGCACTGCTGCTCCAGGCTGATATTTATCCATGAGTATGGATGTCAGATTTT